ATGTTGGAGAGGGGGCATCAAAAGGTCAGAACCTGAAGTTGGGGTCAAAATAATTACCATATTCATTAAACAAGCTATCTAGAAGTAAAGTATTCTGAGGCGCAGACTGAAGACAGGGATATGGAGATTGAGGACCATTGTAAAAGAACCCAGGTCCTTCCCAAATGAGCTAGTCAAAGCAAACAGTGAAAAGAATCCCTAAGCACTAACCCTAGAAATAAATGATTTAACAGCTATTAACAATCCCACAAAGGAATGAGCCCCTCCCAAAGAAAAGAAGACAATAGCAGTGCAATTTGTGCGCTGGCAGGTGCTGGCCAACTCTCTCCCCGCAGGACAGCAGCCTCCTGCCTGCCCGCAACCTGCAACGTGCCAGTGCTTCTCATCACTTACCTCCCACGGCAGAGGCAGCTCTCCTCAAGGCTGCCCGCCTGTGACTTTATAGGCCTCTCTTTTAGCAAACCTGTCCCCTTTGGGAGCAGCTCTTTCTGCCCGCTTGTGTGGTTACAGGGCAACCCTAATGTGAAATGGGCTGCCTAACTGTGGATCCTCACCGCGTGCTAAAAGGGACTTACAATAAGACTCAACTGCAGGCACACACAAAAAGGGTTTATTTACAAAAAGGAGAAATGAAGAAAAGAATAACTCAGGGCGAAAGAGAGATAAATGGGTGACTGGATCCTACCAGTTCTGCTGAGCTGGAACCCCAATACTATGCTGAAAGCCAATAAAAACCAAGGACCCCCGAGGCCCACATGTCTAGTTATGTACCAAACCTGGCTGCTTAACTCCACCCTCAGTTCCCAGCAATCCTCTCTGGGATTTGCGGTCCTTGGTGTCTTAGATTTCTGGTCTGGGGTCCATAAAACCTGTTTGTGGAGTTTGTTCTGGACATCCTCTCCCCCAACAGTGTCTGCAAGCGATGCAGTGAAACAGGACAGATCTCTCTTCCTGCCCTATCAGATAAGCACTCCTATCTGTTGCATTTAACAAGTTTGTCTTCTTGCATTCTAAGGAAAAGGAAGGACATCCCTAAGAGGATAATAAGGAAGATAAATATCTCAGGCAGTTAAACATCAAGTGTTAACAAAGCAAGTTGGTGCCCACCCTGAATCAAAAGGACATGCCTACCTTTGCCCCTCTCCCTTTTGTTTTACACCTTTGTGTAAATAACCCGGCCCTCTGCCAAAGGGCAGGACCTTGGCCTTTAAGAAGAGTCTGCTGCTCTCTTCAGTTTGTTGACAAATTAAACTACTTTCCTTCTTGCTTCCTTTTATTGGCTGAGGGAAACTGAGACTGGCATTCGTCTCGGTATCACAAGTGTCTTTTTCCTTCTCTCCCTGTTCATAATAAACCTGCCCTTTTGGATAACTAACCTCTCTGAGTCATGGAGAAACTCACCCAACATCTCCAAAAGTGACGTCATTGTGACTGCTATGATGATGAGATGATTGAGATCTCACCACAAACAAGTGAGAGAAGACCACACCCAGTATATAAGGCGACAAGCCCACAGTCCTGCCAGTGAGCAGAAGAGGTGCCACTGTGGAAAGACCCTGTGTGGGCAGCAGAGTTAGAATTACCTCTTGAATTCCACTTTAAATGGGATGATTATAAGGTTAAAAAAAAAAAAGATGAAGAGCACCTGAATGTACATCTTCCGAGAAGAGTGTAAAGAATCAGGGGAGCTGCCAGACTATGGAGTTTCCCTTTGAAGTTACATCAGTGGTTCTCAGTCCAAATGCACAATCAACTACCTGGAGAGATTTTAACATGTGCTTCTGCTTAGGGCATGCCACTAGCCACTAGATTTTTATATTACCAACCTGGGTTGGACCCAAAGCATTGATACATTTTAGAATATTCCCAGGTGCCAACACAAAGAACCCCTGAGCTACAGCATAAACTATTATACAGTAGACTGAAACAGGGACCAAGAAGTCAAACATTTATGACCAAATCACAATTCTGACTCTTTTGATGTATTGTATTATATGCTAATTTCCTTTGGGTTTCCCCTTAGTGTTTAACAAAAACCCTACTTAGCAATGCTTAGAAAAATAGGAAAAAGACAGATCAACCCAAGCTTGAGGTAACTCTTTAATAGCACACCTTCATTCTGTCCAGGAGGTAGCAGTGATCCTTAAAAGGGAGATGACCTCAGGCAAAAGATAAACTTCAGGGGTCAGTCTGCCCAGATCAAATACAACTTCTTCCCCTAGAGAGTCTCTCTTCAGGCCTTTAATATGCTCCTAAGGTCAGCATATCTTTACTGTGTTGTTAGGGCAACTGAGATCATTTCTCTATAAGGTATATACATATATCTATATATATTTTAAAGATTTATTTTTTTATTTATATAATAGCTGGGGTAAGGGCCAGAGGCACGGGAGGGTGAGAGGATTCACCAGAGAAACAGAGTGGGGAGCAGAACAGGCAGACAGACCAAAAGCATTGCTGAGGGGAGCAGCAGGTTCTATGGGAGAGGTCTGCCCACGCCATGTGGGAATCTCCCTGGCCAGCCGGGAATCAAACCCAAGCTGCAGAAGCTGTGGACAGCCTCACAGCACTATGCTCAACCCGCTGCGCCACTGGGGAGGCCCTATACATACATATTTTCCTGCTGCCCTCTATAAGACGTATTTATATACATAAGAGGACAAAAGAGACTGTTTCTCTTTCTCCCCCCAGTAGCCCCTGCCTTCCCCCATCTCACACTACAGCACTCACAAACAGGACCCTCATGCTTGACTCAACAACACCAAGAATGGTCAATAGAAAAGATAAACTCATGCTATTTGCAGCAACATGGGTGGAGCTGGAAGGGATTATGCTCAGTAAAATAAGTCAGGAGGAAAAAGAAAAATATCAGATGGTTTCACTTATAGGAGGAATATAGAGGAAACAAACAAGAAATCAGGAAAAAAAAAGACAAAGCTAGCAAACAAACTATAAATCATAAATCAGAGACATTCTGCAGGGGAGGGGGAGGGAGAGAGATCGAAACAGGGGTTAGGAAGAGCACAAGCAACTATAGTGAAGGTTCACCCAGTGACTTGGTGGTGGCAATTTTATGGGGACTATACTTGAAAGGAGAAATCAAGCATTGTACAAAAGTTAACAATGATGTAAATAAATACACAGCACAGATATATTAATTACATTAAAATTTTTAGAAAGAGAGGGGGAAAAAAAGAAAAGGGTTTTGCTACAAGGCAAAGGCTTTAGCCATTCCCCAAGCCAGATTTTCCAAGAAAAGTCAGATGCAGGCAAGGCAGTTAATTTCTCACCAACAGAAGGGACCCACCCTTCCCTTTTGATCCCCCTTTACTCTCTGTCCTCACTCTCAGAATTCTACCTTTACTGTAGAATTCTGTACTCTTTACTGTACTCTTTTACATTAAAGTCCTAGTGTTAATAGGTAGGCTGAGGGGTATCCTGGGACATGCTCTAAATAGGTTCTGTCATCTGCCACATCAAGTGTATCTTCAATAGAAAGGAACTTTAATACAACTAATGTGCAATAAAGAGAAGAGAAGAGAAAGAGTGTAGTTTAAAATAATTTTCAATGAAACACCCAAAGTTACCCATCCCCTCATGGGTAAATGCCCAGCCAAATATGGTTGGCCCAAAGCGGGGCCACTGAGGCCCAAAAGCTTGCCACAAGTCTAAGGCACCTTCTGGTTGGGGACCATTGAAAAGGGGCTGAAGGAGCCGGGCAAATCTGGGATGAAAGGAGCAAAATCAAAACTCAAGTCAAGGTAAAGGCTGCCATTGTCATCCTCCCCACAGGTCTCTCACCATGTCTCTGTCTTTTTCAATTGTCTCCTTCCATATCCCCCAAGTCCAAGGCCAAGAGGCAAGCACAATTTCTTCACAATGTCTCTACCGCATGTGCCTTCTCCAGGCCTTCTTGATCCCTTCCTTCTTTCTCCCAATCTTCTCTAGCTTTTTTTCCTCCCAGCTCAGCTCTGCCCTTCCTTGGGTGGGGCAGGGAACCTGGAGCCTCCCCTTACCCTGGGGATTACTCTATTACTAATGCCTACTACCTCATAGAGCACCTGGCTCAGAGAACATAGGCAGTTTTTTTTTTTTGAAAAATAAATGAAAAAATAAATTATCTAATGTGTTTATAACCCACTCAACTCACCTATTTAAGGTCTTTCTGGATATTTCCCAGTTCCATTCCCCCAAAGACTGCTACTGCCTTATTTCCTGGTCCAAATTGCACATTACCTTCACTATGAGCTATGTTCTGGTCTAAGGTATTGAGTGGAGGATACACCATTAACTCTTTGCTGAGTCTCATTCTAATGGCCAACAGCTCTACTCAACTGATGTGGCTTGTAGCCACAACAAAGAATGGCAATACAAAAACTTTAAAGTTTGTCCTTCTTGACAATTCTTTTTATTTTTTTTTGTTTTGTGTTTTTTTTTAATTTTATTTTTATATTCCCCATACAATTGCAACCCCCTTATTTTGACCCCAACCCCTCCTTTCCCCGCCCTTGACAATTCTTTTTAGACTGAAACAATCATTATTTATCAAATTGTATAGCAAGACCTGATCATGTGGTGAAACAATCTACTCTGAAGCATGAGTCAGATTGTAATTAAGGCTATAGGGAACTTAATTCTAAATCCCCTGGTTATAAATGATCAAAATCTCATCTACTGTACTATAATAAATACATAATTTTATTTTTTATTCCCACAGAAATGTCAAATGAAAATGAGAAGCAGAAATAGGCAATTCCACAGAGATAAAAATTAGCAACTCCTGACAATATAAGATGTGGATTCCATGGAGGCCTCCTACCTAAATATCAAGAAACCCATGATACGTGGCTCATGAGGGGTATCCAGGCAGATATTACATTCATTATTCGAGTGTATTTCTTGATTATCACAAGCATTATTTATGTCATTTTGTTACTGATTATATCTCCTATTATATCATAGTGCAGTGAACAAGTGCCACTTTTCCGAGCCCCACTTACATACGGTCACCGGATTATCATTTCTAGCATGCCATGCCTGGCTGGGGGCAGCTGGGAAGGAGAGAGGTGTGTACATATTTGTGAGGTGCAACAAAGGAGGGAGGGGAAATGTGGAGAGAGACATGTGGGTAGGAGACACACTTAGAAGAGACATGTGGGTAAGAGACATATTGGGAAGCTGTTCCTGGTCCTTGGCAGAGACAATGGTAGCTGTTATCTTTACTTCATGGTAGTTTATATGTTACATTTTGAATTCTGGGTCTTTCTTCTTTTCCAGCTCTCTGGGACCTGACTACTCCCTTCCTTGTGGTTTCCCCACCAGCACTTGCCTTAGATTTGTGGAAAGCTTTGGACACTCAGTTATTCTGCTCTGGGCTGAGCTTATTTGGCAAGGTATTTTGTCCATGAGAGAATGAGTAATTTTTGGAGCATTATTAGGAATGTCCTTGTTGCCTATTCATTCTCTCTCTCCCTTTCTCTTTCTCTCTCTCTGCACATCAAAACTATCAAAGATCTCTCAGACTAAGAGTCTGTTTTCTTTTACTTTGTGCATGTAGATGGTAGGGACCCCCTTTGGAGAATGCACCTCTTAATAGTTTGTGGTCCCTGGGTACCTCTGAGTCACACACAATTTTAAAGAAAAAACAAATTTTAAAGAAAGTGGAAAAGGCATTTCATTTTTGTCTACTAGTTTCAGCATATAAGTCAATTCAAACATTGTGACTGTGACTATTTCAAACATTAAATAGCATTCTAGCGACAAATTATTAAAAAAAAACAGTTCTCACTTGGGATTTACTTTATAAAGTTGCTTCTTACTTAAATAAAATTCACATTATATAGCTAATACACAGTAGGTCTTCTACAAATGTAGCTCCTTACCTTTTCTTATAATCATCCCCTCTGCCCAATAAGCATTTGTCCTGAGAACTAAAATACTAGAGCTCTAAGAGGCTGAATATGACTAGAAAATAACTGTGAATGGCAAAGAGAGCAGATTAACCCAAAGTCACATGTAAGTCAGGAAAGATTTTGGATTTTGTTTTTGAGAACTGGGGTACAGGGCCTCCCTGGTGGTGCAAGGGGTTAAGACGCAATCCATGAAGTTGTCCGTAGTCTCTGCACCACAAATTCGATCCCCTGGCCAGCCAAGGAGCAACCCACATGGTGCAGCATATCTCTCCTGACTCACCGGCTGCTCCCCTCAGCAGTGTACTTCGGTCAATCTGTCTGTTCTGTTTCCCACTCTGTCTCTGGTGAATCCTCTCACCCCCCACACCTCTGGCCTGTGCCCCAGTTCTTGCCTGCATAAATAAATAAATCTTTAAAAAAAACAACTGGGGCACAGGCCAGAGGTGTGGGGGGTGAGAGGATTCACCAGAGACAGAGCAGGGAACAGAACAGGCAGATAGACTGACATACACTGCTGAGGGGAGCAGAGGGCAATACGGAGAGGTCTGCTGCACCATTTGGGTAGCTCCCTGGCCAGCTAGGGATCAAACTCAGCTTCAGAGGCTGCGGGCAGCTTCCCAGTGCTGCACTCCATCCCGTGCGCCACCAGGGAGGCCCAAGTCAGGAAAGCTTTTGAAGGAAAACTCCAACCTTTCTCCTAACATCAAGTTAATGACTGTGTGGTTATTTCACCAACAAAATTTCTTTGTAATAAGAAGGGGAAAAAGGCTTTGTCCCCATGAATTTTCATGTAGGACCAAAGATAATGTTCAAAGAATACTATCTAAGAAAGTGAGTATGTATGGTCATGACACAAGATCACAGAATGTGAATTTAAATTTCAAAAAGAAAAAGGCATAAAGAATGTGAGGCAACATCTCAAATCTCAAAATACAAAATTATTCTGAGTAAATAGTTAAATATTAAAAACATAATACATTATACCCTCATCAGAAAATGATTATTGAGCTTTTAAATTTAGACAAGATCAAAATTATTCAGATCAGCAAGATGGCCATCTGCTTTCAAGTATGCAGCTGCTAGCCTTTAAACAGCAACTTTCCATGATTCATAACTTATTCATCCCAGGATGCACTCAGACATCTGCTTTATCATGAATTCATCTTGTCATAGAATTTTTCTTTAAAGTTTCATAACCTCTACCCAGGTAACATAATGAACCAATAAGTCAGTCTTTTCCATTGAAAGAATCCACTGTATAACTCTCCAAGATTAATGGTCCTATTTTGAAATCATATATATTCATCTGTGTATAAAAAAACATTGTAAATCATTCCCTTTTAAAACAATTAGAACATTAGAAAGGGCTACCATTTAGCCTACTGTGATCCAGGTACTGCATCTTTATCTTCATTGCCACTCGGGAAATTAGATATTATGATCATTTTACAAATGATCAGATCAGCAAGACTAACTAACTTACCCTGTGCCACTGAGAGATGAACTGTTTAATTCCAGGCCTATCTGTTTCCAAACCCAAACTTCTAGAGCATCCCACAATGACTCATATTTAAAACGTTATGGAATAACTGAAATAGTCTCATCAGTTACATAGAGAAGAGACTTTAGTTTAATTCTATTTATTCTCAACTGAAGAAATATGTTGCACATGGCACTTAATATAGGTGCTTTGAAAAGTAAAAATAACTATGTCAATTTTTGCATCTTCTTATCCTTGTGGTCAACTTTGATAATCCTAGAGGTCAATTCTTTCACTTTCCATCACTGAGAGCAGCAGCCTGGAGAAGGAAGAAAGAACAGAAACCATTTCTATGTGGCTCAAGGAAGAACACCATGTACACTTTAACTTGGGAAAAGAAGTGCTCAATACACAGCAGATTTTTTCCAAAGCAGATTAGACTTTTTCTCTCTCTCGAATTCTAGTGTGCAAATTGTTGCTTATTATTTATTTAAATTCTACGTTGTATATAACAAATAAGTGGCTCTGATGTCAAATCTTTGTTCAGCAACTCAAAATTCATTAGGCATTCTGAGACTTATTTTTATAAGTCCATGATTCATAACTGTAAGAATGGGGAAAATGCCATCTTTTGTTCTATGTTTTTTTTTTTTAAATGATATGTAGAAGATAACTGAATGGCATGAAATGATGGCAATACATTGAACAATCATTTCAAAAAATAGGAATGTCAAAATAATCTTTTTTATTTAAAAAAAGGGAGATACGTTCACAGAGACAGGGTCTGAGAAGTTATATATAAAATATTTATGTCAGCCAATGATGGTTGCACCCAGACAATTTGAGCAAAGGGTGCTGTGAACCCCAGTATGGCTGAGAAAAACCAGAACAGGTTCCAACTATTGGGAAAAATAGAAGAAAATCTAGGAAAACTCAAGATAGGAAATCATGAACCAGATGAATTGTGAGACATAATGGGGTGGATTTGTTGTCTTTGTTCTAAGTCATCTGTGTCCCAGACCTTTTTTTTGGGTATTCCTGTGAATTGTGGCCTCTAAACCAAAGATAACTCATCACTGATACAAGAGAAAGGAAACATCTTAAGTTCCTGAGTTAGAATATCTAAGCTTGCCTTCAGAAAAACGTTATTTCCCATTTTGTTCCAGACTCTGTTTGCAGCATATTTTGAATCGAGACAATATAAACTATTTATAAAGGCTCTTCAGTTACCAGAACTGGGCCTAGAAATTCAATGATTGTTAAGCAAATGTGTACATGAAAATAAAAATGTAAAATTAATAAAATAAAAAAATAAGATATGAACAATGGTTTCTATTGGATAATGTCATTTTTATTTTCTTTATATGAGTACATATGCTTACTAAAATTTCTAAAACATTAGAGATTTTGAAATAATAAATTATTTAATTCTCAATGGTAATGAGAAATTACAAAAGAAGTAATTGTAGAAGTTATTTAGTCATCCAATAGTAATATTAACCACCTTTAAAATACTAAGCATTTCATTAAAAAGCAAGACTCAGAGTTCAAATTGCTACAATAAAGAACCCAAAAGACTAAAGAAAAACTCAAAAAAGCATTTCAAAACAATATAAGAGAAATCAGAAAAGCTAATCAAAGAAATAGAAGAAAATCTAGAAAAACAAATGAATGAGCTTAGAAATAAAATCAGTAAACAGAAAGTATAAACTGAAGTTTTAAATAATAAAGTTACAGAAATTCTGGAGGTAGAGTACAATAAATTATACATAGAGAGAACTAGTCATATATAGAGAGAACTATGGATGTCGCATAGACCAATTAGAGACCAAATCAGTGACCTTGTAGATAGTAATGCACTAAGGACTCAGACAGAAGAAGAGAGACATGTAAAAAAAAAAAAGAAAAGAAAAGGCAATTCAAAAACTATGCAACACCATTAAGAAATTTACCATAAGAATAATGGGTATCCCAGAAGAGGAAGAGAGCAATGGCAACAGAAGACTTATTCAAAGTAATTATAGAGTAAAATTTCCCACATCTGGGAAATAAATTAAATGAATAAGTTAATGAAGCTAGAAGAACACCTGGTTACCTAAATGCAATGAGAACTACACCAAGATAATTTAAAAAATGAAACTACTAAGAATTCAAGACAAAGACTACTGAAGGCAGTTGGGGGAAGGGTAGCAGATAACTTACAAACTACTCTCACTAGGCTTACATCAGACTTCTTAGAAGATCTGTAAGGAAGGAGAGAATGGAATGATATATTTGAAATACTCAAAAATAAATATGGCCAGAGGAGGGGGCGGAGCAACATGGCGGCGAGGAGACGCTGCTAGTAAGATCTCCCATTAAAAAAAGTGAATAGGGAGGAAAAGCGGCAGGTCCCAGTGAGAACCGGGACACGGAAGATAAACGGGTGACGCCAGCAAACTGCCCGAAGAAGAAAGTGGCCATAAAAGAGGACCAGAAGGGAGGGAAGCGCAGAACCCTGCTCCCCTCCCCCGCCCACAGAGGCGGCACTCTCTGACCGGCAGAGAGGAGGAAAACAACAAACCAAAACGGCCCACAAGAACAAAGGACGCAGCAAGCGGGACTGTGAGTGGAAAGGAACTATTGCAGCCACCACACCCCGCGAACGGGAGCTGTGGAGAACCCCCGCAGGATCCGCCGCGGAG